CCCCTCTGTTTAATCCAAAGTACCTCTATTCTTCCCTAGCACCCCTGTTATTGTGAATAGGCTCACACATATCAGAGAAAATATTTGGCCTTTGGTTCTTTGAGACTTGCTTATTTTGCTTAGCATGATGTTCTCTAGTTCCATTCATTTACCATCAAATGCTATAATTTCATTCTTCTATAAGGCTGAGTAATATTCCATTTTTTGTGTATAGAATATTGTGTATATATACCAATTTCTTTATCCATTTATCTTCAACAATTTTTTAAGGGTGAATATATGCTGAGGATATATTATTATAAGGTTTGGTAATATGTTGGAGGAATGTTGAAGGTTTAAAATTTCTCTCTTATTATATATTCTATTTTCTCAGTGAATAGGAAGCCAATGAAAAGGAGATAATATGGGGATTATGGGAAGTTTGAGATGTAATGCACAGAGAGATTGAAAGATATATATATATATATATATATATATATCCATTCTTATTCAGCAGCAGCAGCCTCTAAAACTGACTTGTCTACTCAACATCTTCTTTCTAATCTACTTCCCTTCTTTACTCTCCACATGAATCCTAGGAAAAAAAAATATATATTTGAAAAAATAAAAAAAACTCATGTGTTAATCTCATATAAGACAAATTAGATTTTTATTAAAACATTATTGGAGGTGTGCAATGATTGATTTTTTGTTTCCACTTGGCTAGGCCACAGTGCCCAGATGTTTGTTCTAATGCTAGTGAAGAGGTCAATGTAATGGCATTTTTAAAGAAGATTAACACTTAAATCAATATAATGTGAGCAAATCAGATTACTCTCCATAATGTGGGTGGACCCCATCCATCAGTTGAAAACCTTAAGAGAAAAATACTGAATTCCACTAAGGAAAAAGAAATTCTGCCTCCAGACTACTTCAAACTTGAGCTGAAAATCAACTTTTACCTTGGTGTTCAGTCTAATAGCCTGTCTATAGAAATTGAACTTGCCAGTCCCCAAAATTGCATGAACTAATTCCTCAAAGTAAATCTACATTGTAGATAAATACAGAAAGAAACAGATGAAATATTGAAAGACATACATATATAGATAGATATAGATCTAATAGTTTTAAATTAATATGAAGCTAAATATTATAGATTGTTTATCACTTTTACATACTTTTGTGAGTATTTGTTATACTTCAAAATAAAATAATTGTTAAAATTATTTTAAAATTCATGACCATATTGTAAGCCACCAAAACAATTGATCCCTCAGAGATGCTGCCTTGGTTTGAATGTGTCCTATGAAGTTCAGGTGTTGGAAACTTAATGCCAATGTAACAGTGGTCTCTAATATTTGTCATTAGAACTTTACCCTCACAAATGGAATAATGTCATTAAAATGCAAAACTACAACACAGGAGAAAATTAGATGATCATGCACGCAATGACTTATTACACACAACACAGCAAGATTCATGAAAGAAATCATCGATAAGCTATATTTCCTGAAAATCAGAAACTTCTGCTCTGTGGAAGACAATGCCAAAGAAAACAAGAGGACAAGCCATTATCTGGGGAAAATATTGTTAAAGAAACATCTGATTAAGGACTGCAATCCAAAACACACAAAGAAGCTTTAGTAGTCAAACATAGAATAACAAAAAATTCATTAATAAATGGTCAAAGGACTTAACAGGTACTTCATTATAAAAAAATAAAATGACAAACATAAAAAAATGCTCCACTTCATATTCCACTAGGAAAATGCAAAGTAATAATAGCAGTGCTGTACACCTAGTAGAATGGCCAAAATGTAGAACATGGCAATAACAAATGCTGGTGAGAATGCAGAGAAACAGGAGATTGCATTTATGCTGGTGGGAATGTAAAATGGTGTGGCCTTTTTGGGAGAGAGTTCAGCATCTTCTTATATGCTATTTCCAAATGACCCATCAATCATGCTTCTACACACACACACACACACAAAAAAAAAAAACCCAAAGCAAAAAACATACAAACAAGCAAACATAAAACAACAACAGAGTAGTTGAAAACATGTCCACACCAAAACCTTCACAGAGATGTTTATAACAACCTTATTCATAACTGACAAAATTTGGGAGCAAATGATATACCTGCCTACAGATGAATGGATACTAAACTGTGCTATGTTCAGAAAATGGAATATTATTTAGTGCTTGGACAAATGAGCTCTCACACTATGAAAGACATTGAGAAAAGTTCAATGCACCTTACTAAGTGAATGAAGTTGATGCAGAAAGGCAACATACTTTATGATTTCAATTAAATGACAGTCTAGAAAAGGCGAATTATAAAAACCATAGGTCAGTGGTTGCCAGTGTTTGGGCTGGCAATGGAATGAATAGGCAGATCACAGGATGTTTAGAGCAGTGTGGGAGGTCAACCTTACAGGTGACTAAGTTACACTCCCCAGCTGGGAGCTGAGGCGCTCATTCACAGAAATGGGTGTGTCTTGCCACAGCCCCATGGGTGAAGCTATGCTCACCTGTTCCTTTGTAATATAACCCCTTGCTCTGTTTACGATAGAATCTTCCATATAAGTGCCTTGGGTGTGTCCCCTCCTCTTACTGTGCACTTGGGTGTGGCCTACCCAGGTATCAGTCAACCTGCTGACAGTGGACATCATGAAGATAGACTCAGCCCCCTGACACCTGACCCCTTGCCTCATTTAAATAACTTCTCCTCAATAAAAGGGGTCAGCACATGCTCTCTCTCTCTCTCTCTCTCTCTCTCTTTCTGTGGACTCTTAAGGTCAGAGGAGCTGGCACAGCAACCCCAAAGAAAAAGGTATTTGTGTCTCTTGTGTGGTTATTTCGTGCATCCCAGTTAGCCCAGTTTAACTAGAGTGACCCCTGAGCCTTTTAGTGGCTAGAACAGAAACCCAGCAGAGAAGTGAAAGTATTCTGACACTACAGTGGTAGATACATGGCATTAAACATTTGTCCATATGATACAAAACACCAAAGGTGATGCCTGCTGTAAACCTTAGACTTTATGTGACTATGATGTGTGAATAAAGTTCATGCATTGCAGTCAGTCTACCCTCTGGTGGAGGATGCTGGTAAGAGGAAGCCTGAAGGGAGCAGTGGCTAGGGTATGTATGTGAGAAATCTCTGGATGCACTTCTCAATTTTCCTGTAAATTAAAACTACTCTAAAATAATTTAGTCTTTAGAAATCAGAGTGCAGAGTTGCTAATATGTGATGGCTGCAACAAAGGAAGATATGAAAAATAAAGACAATAATATTTAAATGGGCAGATATATGAATGGATAATATACAGAGAAAAATAAAAATGAGTTAAATATGTTAAAGTAAACTACATCTGATTTATAATTAAATTAATTACAGATGGATATGAAAGCTGAATTATTAAGCAAAAATTAAAAACCTTGATAATACAGAAGGTTTGGGGGAAACAGGTATTCTTCCCATTCACTGATGCTGATGGTGTAGGTTCGTGAAACTTACCCAGAGGACAATTTTGTGAACCATAGAATCTTATAGACTACTATGAATATGTCCCTTTTCTTGAATAATAGTTTAATTTCCTACATTGAGTAATTTACTATGATTTTTTTCTATTTTAATTTTTTTGATTCTCATAATTTTAAGGTTCATTCATCAAATACGTTTTCAGTTTTCTTTCAATTTTCATCTGGTTTGGGGAAGTGATTATTGTTTATTATAGAGGTGGTGACAGAGACCGTGGATGGATTGAAACATAGACATTTTCTCACTAGGTCTTCCTCTTTTCATCCTCTATTTTAAATACTTTCAACACACACACACACACACACACACACACAGCACCAGTTTCCCCAGTGATTTTGAATCTTTCCCACCACAGTTCATACACACAAGTGATGCTCCTTGGTAGCTTCTTTCCCTAGTTCCAGGTTTCATCTTCATTGGTTTGCCATGAAAGCTTTCATTCTTCCATATACTTCTCGGCCCCTAAAATTTTGTTGACATAGCTTGTCATCTTCTTTTCTATACTCTGAGTTTGTGCCTTTTCAATTTCTTATGGCATTTCACAAGGATACAGGATAAAAATATCTGCTTAGCTTTTTATTTTCACTGAAACTTAACTCATTTGAGCCTTTGTTAGAAAGAAAACCAATCCATGTAACTAGCCAGAGCTGCTCATCATTTGGACATGGGACATATCTTCAATTATGCCTTACTCCCTCCCTGTCTTTTAAACATCAGCCTGTGTCTACCAACTGATTTATCAAAACAGAAACCCTTCCTGTATATGATGCAAATCCCTTTCTCCTCTTTGCATTGCTATTGCATGTGAAATTCTGTTCTTCATCTTTCGCTTCTTTCTCCATTAAGAATCTTAGAGCTGGGCACAGTGGTGCACACTTGTAATCCCAGCTACCCAAGAGACTGGGGCAGGAAGAACCCAAGTTGGATGTCATCCTGGGAAACTTAGCAAGATCCTGTCTCAAAAAGTAAAAAGGGCTGGGAGTGTAGCTCTGTGGTAGAGACTATTTGGGCCCAATCCTTAGTATCACAACATAATTAATTAATTAATAAATTAATCTTGGAAGAACCCTGGGTATTTGGGGTTGTAGCCCTCCCAGTACATCTCTTTCCATACTCTGTTAGGGAAATATTATGAAGATGCCACTTTCTCTGGCATATTTGGTTCTCTAACAATAAAACATGTCACAGCAATGTCTACCAAGAGGAGGTGGAACAAAATGTGGAATTTTGTCTGCAAGGACAAGCGAGAAGATCACTTCATTGTTTATGTAGTTTACTTTGAAACTACTTTGGCTCTGATGAAGAGCTGTCTTTCATTAATGAAGAGTGGATTGGGGGATGCCCACTTCTTCTTCTTCTGTACGGAATATGTGTACGATTTTTCATTAGCCAGAGAAACTGAGGGGAACCCACCGTAGATGTGCAGAAACCAGAATGAATACCAGAGGCAGACACTCAGCAGCCAGGCCCCTGGTTGCTGCTCAGAGTTTGTGCTCAGCTCCCCCTGCAGTTTCTGCCACTGTGTCACTTAGAGCACAGTAGTACACAGCCGAGTCTGACCCTTGGACACAGTCTTTCTCCAAGTGAAAGGAGGTGGCTTCTTTATTGTACATGGCCTGAAAACCTCTGTTGCTGCCCTTCTCGTTGGCCTTTGAGACTCTGAAGAGGAGCTGTAGACCTTCTCCAGGATACTGAAAATACCAGAACAGAGAAGGGTACCCTGTGGCTGTATAAGTACAGTTTATAGTCAGGAAAGACCCTTCTGACACGGTCATTTTATCTTCTATCTGGGTCACTGAGTCTCCATGGGTTCCTCCTGGGGGAAAAAAGAAATCTGGATTACCCTGAAATCAAACTCTTAGGTAAACTTATGATTATAGATTTGTTGACATCATATAAAAAGCAGTTACAACTTTAAAAGGCATTTTACTTACCCAGAAGGAGTATCACAGTCACTATGCATTGAGAAGCATTCATCTTGAGTGTCACAGAAATAATGTTCTTGATTCTGAACGTGAAGAAGATTGACCTCACAATGAAATGAAAAGTCAAAACCCACAATTCACCCAGGAAGTGAGCTAGTGCGAGGGAGCTGCACCCCCTGGTGGGCAGGGACTGAAATGGGAAGAATGATTTCCTAAACTTTCAGAAGTCAGAACTATGGCTTCATCTCTGACCTTTACAAAGCACACATCAGTCTTCACATGGCCCTTGTAAATCTAAGCGACAGCTCTCATAACCTCTAAGGGACTTTTTGTTCTTAAAACTACCTGATTTTTGGAAAATCACAACAATAAATAAAATATACAACTTGATATGATTATTACTTAATAAGATCAAAAATTTATAAAGATTTTTTTATTTTTTAGCAAGTCAGGGAAGAAAGTATTTAGAAACATTAAAGCAGCTGAAAATTCATGGAAGTGTCTATTTCTGTCCTGGTTAAAACTCATTAATCTTAGAGAATGAGCTGTGGAACTGTTGCGTGGGGCAGGAGCAGGAGGTGGGCATGAGCCTCTCTTGGTCTCATCACTCATTAAATGTGTACTTTGGGCAAATCACTAATTGTTTTATGTCAAAAAACTATTTTTCAAGATAGTGGGTTATGATATTACCTTTCCTATTATTTGATACTTTAAAAATTTCAAATTTACAATGAGTATATAGTAAATAGTAAAGCAAGTGAAAAAAAGACTCTACTTGAACTGAAATTCTTTAATAGAGCATCCCAGGAGGCCTCTATAGTTGAAAAAATCAGTTGCCTTGGTCATTTTAATACAGGTCATTATACTGCTATGTAACTATTGAGAGCCAAGCTACACCCATTGAAATTTCATCAAGGGTTTTGGGATGAAATCATAGGAAGTAATAAGAATTCCAGTTGTTATTGAGGGATTCTATGTTTTTCAGCACTGTGTTCCACATGTAGAGGAGTGAAAAAGACATTTACTAAGTAAAACAATTCAAATTTGTTAAGTGAAACAAAAATAATGAAGGGGTCGCATTTGGTTGAGAAATCACAACATGAAAGGCTGCATTTCCTCTTTTTCTAAAATAATATCAGTTTAGGGATGTTTTCTCCTTAATAAGAAATTTTCAGCATAGAAGCCACACTATCTAACCAATATTCAAATACTTCTGAATTTCAGAATCATTGAAAAATGTGAACCATAGGTAGAATAAATTCCATAATTTAAGTAATTGAATTGCTAGAGAATAATCTGAGATTAATGTCTAATGCCCCCATTATTTCACGGAAAGTAAGCTTAGGTGGCCAGCTGTGTAAATAAGGAGGGTACTAATGCTGGACTGTAACAGAGGTCAAGACCGAAGGTTCTTGAGAATCTCCATCTTTTCACAGAGTTGGAGGCCTAACCCAGTCTGTGTTCTGGAGTTCACTCTCCACAGAGTTGAATAGAGGAGCCCATGAGTCCAGAGTAAAAATGTAAATAGTTTGTTATTTTTCCAAATGAATTTCATAATTCCTTTTTCTATTTCTATAAGAAATGATGATGGGATTATAATTGGAATCACATTGACTCTGTACATCACTTTGGCTAGTATGGCTATATTAATTTTGCCTATCCAAGAGCATGGGAGATCTTTCCATCTTCTGTGGTCTTCTTCAATTTCTTTTTTTAGTCCCTAGGTTTTCTAGTGTTTTGAATATTAAAGGGTTCTGTATTTTTGTCAAATGCTTTCTCTGCATCAATTGATATAATCATATAATTCTTATCTTTAAGTCTATTAATGTAATGAATTATATTTAGTGTTATTTATCTTTAGTGTTTTGTAGTTTTCGTTTTAGACCACTTTCACTTCTTTTGTTAAATTGATTTCCAAGTATATTTTTTGAGGCTATTGTAAGTGGGATAATATTCCTAATTTCTCTTTCAGAGGATTCATCACTGATTTATAGAAATCATTTGATTTATGGGTATTGATTTTATATCCTGCTAGTTTGTCAGCAAATAATGATAGTTTGAGTTCTTCTTTTCCTATCTGTATCCCTTTAATTTCTTTCATCTAATTGCTCTGGCTAGCATTTCAAAGATTATGTTGAATAGAAGTGGTGAAAGAGAGCATCTCTGTCTTGCTCCAGTTTTTAGAGAGAAGGCTTTGAATTTTTCTTCATTTAGAATGGCATTGACCTTGGGTTTGGCATAGATAACTTTTACAATGTTGAGGTACATTCCTCCTGTCCCTAGTTTTTCTAGTGTTTTGAACATGAAAAAGTTCTGTATTTTGTCAAATGCTTTCTCTGCATCAATTGATATAATCATATGATACTTATCTTTAAATATATTGATGTGATTAATTATATTTATTGATTTCTGTATGTTGAACAAAACTTGCATCCCTGGAATGAAACCCACTTGATCATCCAGAATAGCCAAAGCAATCCTTAGCAAGAAGAGTGAAGCAGAAGTCATCACAATACCAGACCTTAAAACTATAGTATAAAGCTATAGTAACAAAAACAGCATGATATTGGCACCAAAATAGTTTGCAGACCAATGGTACAGAATAGAAGACAACAGAGACAACCCACATAAATACAGTTATCTTATACTGGACAAAGGCATCAAAAACATATATTGGAGAAAAGAACTTCTTCAACAAGTGGTGCTGGGGAGAACTGGAAATCCCATATGCAGCAAAATGAAAATAAACCCCTGTCTCTCACCATGCACAAAACTTAACTCAAAGTGGATCAAGGACCTAGGAATTAGACCAGAGACCCTGTGCCTAATAGAGGAAAAAGTAGGCCCAAATCTTTATCTCTTTCATATTGGGCCCTGACTTCCTTACAAGACTCCTAAAGTACAATAAATAAAATCAAGAATTAATAAATGGATTGGACTCAAACTAAAAAGCTCAGCAAAAGAAACAATCAATGAAGTGAAGAGAGAGGCTATAGAATGGAACAAAATTTTTGCCACATGCATGTCAGATAGAGTATTAATCTCCAGGATATATAAAGAACTCAAAAAACTTAACATAAAAAACAAATAAACAACCCAATGAATAAATGGGATAAGAAGCTGAACAGACACTTCTTAGAAGAAGATATCCATTTGATCAACAAACATGAAAAAATGTTCAACATATCTAGTAATTAGAGAAATGCAAATCAAAACTACTCTAAGATTTCATGCCACACCAGACAGAATGGCAGTTATCAAGAATAGAGTCAATAATAACTGTTGGCGAGGATGTGGGGGGGAAATACACTCATACATTGTTGGTGGGACTGTAAATTGGTGCAACCACTCTAGAATCCAGTATGGACTTTCCTTAGAAAACTTGGAATGGAACTACCATTTGATCCAGCTATCCCATGCCTCCATCTATACCCAAAGGACTTAAAATCAGCATGCAATAGTAATGCAGCCACATCAATTCATAGCAGCTCAATTCACAATAATTAAACTGTGCAAGCAACCTAGATACCCTTTAATAGATGACTGGATAAAGAAACTGTGATATATATATACACAATGGAAATATTACTCAGCATTAAAAGAGAGTAAAATTATGGCCTTTTCAGGTAAATGAATGGAGTTGGAGAATATCATGCTAAGCGAAGTAAGCCATTCCCCCCAAACCAAAGGCCAAATGTACTCTCTGATAAGCGGATGCTGATTCATAATGGGGTGAAGGCAATAGGAAAAAAGGAGAAATTTTGATTGGGCAAAGGAGAGGGAAATGTGGGGAGTGGTCATGGGGGAAGAAAGATGGTGGAATGAGATGGAAATCATTATCCTAGGTACATGTATGACTGCACATATTGTTCGAAGCTATATTTTGTACAACCAAAGAAATGAAAAATTGTGCTGCAATTGTGTACAATGAATCAAATATATTATTTTGTCTTATATGCTAATTTAAATAAATAAATAAATAAATAAATAAATAAATAATATGAAGATAGTTTGTCTGCCACTTAAGACTTAAGAATTTCAGGCCCAGTTATTCTTTGAATTCATATTCTTTCTCTCTCTCTCTTTTATCTTCCAAATCATGTCAAAACTGGATGCAGAACTATACCAGAAAGGAATTCTAAAAAATAAGCTACACATTTCTATTCTGATATATGGGGGAAATGAAAAATAGGTTGGAATGATGCGGAGTTATAAAAAAAAACAAAACAGCATAGAGCTTCAGTTTTTTCAGAGTGAAGAGTTCAAGAGGTGAATGTACTTAATACCACTGAACTGTACAATGATTCAGGTAGTCAACTTCATATTGTGTCTTTTACCATAATTTAAAATAGTTTTTTTAAAGTGTATGATATTTTTCTTGCTTTCTAAGTTCAACATAAGAGGATCTTACAATATGAAGAAATTTATTGACCAGCCCCTACCATTATCATTTTAGGGCATGAGAAAGTGGAGTAAAGGTGGAAGAAGGAAACCACAGAGAAAGAGGATGTGGGGTTGTGGAATATGGATGGAGCACAGAGGGCTTGGGGTGTGCTTTCAGAGTAAAGGTGAAAAGAAGGACAAGAGCAGAGGAAAGAGATTTCATGTTCTATCCCCTCACGATGCCCCTCTAAGAGCCTGTAATTACTAGTCATTTTAAGAATAAAGTTGGTAGAGGGCAGGCAAACTTAGAGTATAGAAATTGAGCTCCTTCAAGCTAGAGGTTTTTTAACAAGGCCATTAATCGAATGAACTGTTAGCTCAAAATTAGTCATAGTAGGCACTCAATAAAATTTTTTTCAATAAATGGACATATAAATAAATAAAATTTCTAAAACTCAAGTTGCTTTCTATTAATATATTGCCTCTTTTTTAATCTAAATATTCACATTTCTATTTAAGAGTACATTTTTGTATTATGCTATCTTTTAAGATTCAGAGTAAGAATAATATAGGTCCCAAAACTAAAATTTACTTGTCACTGTGGTATGAATGAATTGCAGTTTTAAAAATTAGAACCCCTTAGCTATTTAACCCAGGTGATTTTTTTTTTTCTTCTAGGAATTGAACCCAGGGGCACTTAACCACTGAGACACATCCCCAGCCTTTTTCACTTTTTATTTAGAGACAGGGTCTCACTGAGTTGCTTTGGGCCTCACTATGTTGGTGAGGCTAGTTTTGAACTCTTGATCCTCCTGCCTCAGCCACTGAAACTTCTGGGATTATAGGAATATAGTATTGCACCTGACCCAATGTGGTTTTTGAAATAGTTTTTCTTTGTATCTGGAATACCATGAAAATGAATGCATAAGAGAAAAGTGAATTGAAGTGCACACAGAAGAATGTGTAGGAATAGAGTTACAGAAATTCAAGTGAAGATAAAAATACAAAACTTCAAAATGTAATTGAAGTCCTTTATGAACTAAGACAAAATAGTCTTTTCCTGAATAGTACAATAATAAATTAGTTGATATTTCATATGTTAATATGAAATATTCCCATTAAATGTAATTTCAACTTTTTATTTTAAGCACTTGTTTTCATTTATTTTAATGGAGAGTTATTAAATATTGGAAAATAGGATACATTTTTAACATTCATATTTAAAAAAAAACTTGTAATAATTATCAAAAATTCCTTAGAAAAGAATACCACTGAAGAATAATTTACCTTAACATCTAATAAAATTTACTATAAATCTATTTCTAAGATTCACATAACAAGATTAATGAAATTAAATAAAGCATATGCAAAACAGAGAAAGGAGGAGATCCACATAATGAAAAGGTGATTACTTGAGGAAAAAGGATGACTGCTTACTTATATACAAAGAGGCTTGTGTCTCTGTGAGGGAGTTCTTCCACATCTATGCAAGAACTACTATTATCAACCGTCCTGTGGACATGACAGTGAGGGGCAAAGAAACCTTCACTGTGGAAATTGAGTTCTTCATGTTTGAGGTACATGAGGACAGAACAAATCTAAATTCAGCATTTTTCATATAGTAACACTTTTAGAAATTACCTGTGAGCACATTTAATTCACAACACCCAAATCTAAATCTAAATAATCAATTAAATAGTAAAACAAGATGGTCATTTTGAAAAGGAAACAAACAGAGAGATT